AGATGAAATATCAGGAGTGAACATGCCTCTTGTGAACACACACGCACAAAATCTCCATGCATCTCGTGCAGCAGTAAAAAGGCCTGAAGCTGAGCAAAATGTCCTTTTTGCTTTCTCAAACCAGAAGTGAAACACTTTAATCCTAGTGTAGAAAAAAACAGAATATAAAAACACATAAAACTGTCAGAAAAATAGAACTATCTTTTTCCAGCTAACTATACTGCTATATATAAATCCATCAGAGGGGAACAATGAACAAAAGACAATTCTGTTTCCTTAAGGATCATAATTTTTAACTCTGCAGTAGATGCTCTAAAATTACAGATCAAAAATAGAACATTTATAGAAATATTTAGAAACTAAGAGAGAAATAACAGCACAGGAAATACAACAAATAAGAAAAGGTTATTTCTCCAAGAACAGAGAATCATCTGGTCTTCCAATTACTTAGAAGGCAATGAATTTTAGATCAGATCCTGCTAACTGCTACATTTGTATCTCTTCCCAGTACTTGCTGGCTCAAATTAACACAACAGACTGTTCTTACTGATTCAAAATTATGTGTGGCAATAAATTCAGGAAAGTGAAACAAGTTTCATATTAAATATGAAATACTTGGAAAGTTCCTAAGGCTAAAATCCTGCTAAGGGATACCTTGTATCAGCCATAATGACCTGTAGACCCTGAATTAACAGAGCTCAGCCTTGTGATCTGCTCAATTAACACTCTTGGTACAAGGTTAGCATCTACTCAGTTGATGAGATCTTTATGGACAGATGCCCCTATTAAAAGCATAGGAGTCACAGCTGTATCTCCAATCCACTTTTCATTAAGAGTAAAATTCCAGGGTCTTGATGGCAATGATCCATGTAGATGAACTTCTATTCATGTTCAAACTAGTGTTTGAATAAATATATATATATTTAATACACAGATTAAATATGTGAAAATATATATATATATATATTCAAATATACAGTTTACCTCTCAGCTTTATTCAAAGAAAAGAAAGAAATGGCAAATTAGTTCCGTTTTGGTTGTGGGTTTGGGTTTCTTCGGTTCTACGGCATGTGTATTCTGAGACACTTGAGCACTCTCCTGCTAATCATCTCTCCATTTCTCAGCCCACCATGCTTCCATTCCAGCATAGCCCAGCACTGCGCTCACAGTTTCACTGCTGCACTGCCTAATTAACAGTTTTAAGAGCTCCTTCTTTCAAAAGCTGACACAACCATAGCAGAACAAGCAGAATACACTCAACATTTTACACCTCCAGTGTAATGTCAAACTTCAAGCTTAACACTAAAATCCTGAGGCTTGCACTGATCAAGTGAGTCAAAAGGCAAACACCAGTGCCTTTCTCCGGACAACTGCACTAAAGCAGCTTCAGCCCAGACAAAGCACTGCAGGAAGAGGATGGTAAAATTTACCAGAGCTGCTCACCACCAGCACACAACTCAAAAGTTGAGTTCAGCATGTGCTGAAGTGATACAATTACACATGGCAAGGAAGCGGAGGTCTGGATTAGTTTTACACAGCCTACAGTGACCTATCTGCTCTTGTTTTAGACCAGATGCCATTCGCCAACGCACCCCTAGATAATATGTATTAAATACTATCAAAGATAACTCAGTTCATACTGTAGATAGGGCTTCTATGCAAAATCATAAATGCCCAAATGTATTTGAGCACTGTTAAGCTCTCCTTAAATTCAGCTGTCAACTCGGAACTATTCGGTAGGAATGTATTTATAGAAGGGTTTCTTATAGATCACCAAAGGTCAAATGCCATTAAGTGCTATCATCCATGTGTACATGCAGTACACATAAAAATGTCACTTCATTAAATTAGTGGATGACACAACTGGCAGAAAAGCAAATAATAAATATATGTTAGCTTTACAAAGTAATCTGCATGATCTAAATGTGTCACAGAAATGCAACACAAAAACAGGTTTCTATAACCACTAATGCACTGTTACATGCCCAAAAAGTAACACTGTACCATATAAAGCTGTGACAATATCAAAATTTTTTTATCTTACCATAGGCAACTTAACAACAGGCTTTCAACAAGGTACAATGAGAGAAGGAGCACTCGGTCAATGCCTCAATGAGGTTGCAATAACCACTTCCCTTTGTGGATGTCTTTGCTGACACCTATCATGGCACCGAGTACACAGTTCTATCATTCCTCTTTTCATCTCTTCATCAGACCAAAACCAGAAGAACCCCACCAAGTGCTGGCTGTGCATCTGATCTATGCTAATGAGTAGGAAGTCCTTCATGATTTTTTTTTAATTCAGCAAAAAAAGAGTGTTATTAACCATGCCAAATATTTTGGTCGGTTGATTGCTTTCTGGGATTTTTTTTTTTGCCTTCATAACTGTCTGTGACAACAAACTAAATGCAGAGGTCTCCATCTTGTAATGTCTCTGAACTAAGAATGCATAGGTCTTTTTTTAAGATATGCTTTAATCAAACACAAACAATTATGCTCAACACAGACATTAATAACAAGTGTTAAGGCACACAAGATAGCAAAAATTACTGATAGAAAATATATCAGTCTCTCTTGAGAGCAGAAGGGGGATGGGAGAAACATAATCAATCAATGTATTTGGCTTCATAGATTCTCTTGCTGAAGAAACAGATGGATGTGGTCAGCCATCCTGTGGTCAGGAAGGTACACAAAGAAAGTCTTTTCATTTAGAGCCACTGAATAAAATATCTCTTGATGACACTGGAATTGCTATCTAGAAAAAGACAGCTTATTACCTCAGCTTCTCACGTCTTTCAAATTTACACCATGTGTTATAGATTAACAGCTACTTTTTCGCTTTTTACGGCTTCCCTAAAATAAAGCATGCACACAAAATACAGAATAGCAGCTGTTTATGACTTTTTACACTGTAAGGAAATGAATTCCATTTTGAATTCCATTCCACATTTTTAGTTTTGGTTATGTTATTTTTGGAGGATGAAATAGTGGCATTCCAGCTAGTCTTTTTAAGATGCTTTCCCTAACTCTCAGTTCATGTTGCTGTATTTCTACTTTTAACTGAAAACACATTTCCACCTTTGATAATTTACACTGAAAGTGAACTGTTCAGTAAACAAGTGTATTTTTCAATATGAATATGATGTTTTCATACTCAGACTATTTAGCAGCACACCAATGCAAAATTAATGTCAAGCTGTGTAAAGCAACAATACCAGAGACCAAAATAAAATGCTTTTACAGGAAATCTGTAGCAAATTTCCTAAATAAGAATAATAAATAGATCGTTATTTCATACATCGATATGTAGACTGCACAAGCTAGGAAATTTGATTGATTAGCATTATATTTTACTTGCTGCTGGCTTTTTAAACAATACTTACAGAGTGCAGAGAACAGTGATGACCTTTACTATAAAAACTATGCATTTACAACCCAGCTAACACTCTCCCATGGTTTGTTTTCTCAATGTATTACACGAAGCAGTCTACATTGCTAGCATATAAAACAAACAAACAAACAAATCAAGTTCTAAGCAGCCCAGTCTCAATTTTGTAGCTAGGATTTCTCTTCAGAAACATAAACATATTTTAGTGCATTCAATCTATGTCCAAGGCACGGGAGGTGAGAGAATAAAAGAATCATGCTGTTGAGTATAAAAGCAGAGTGTGAAAAAGTCTACTGGGGTTAAGTATTAACCCGATGCATTTTTCAGAACGACTGTACTATTTTTAACTGTTCATTTTTGGCCACAGGTCAAAGTTTTCCTAGCAAAATACCAAAGTGAAAATGCTGGGAGCGAAGCCCAGAGGCAGCTCTCTTTGCTATGGCCTAAGCAAAAACTTATCTGAATCCAGTCAGATATGTAACACTATTTCCCACTCCCCTCCATTGACTATGGGTGTCATTATGCCTCTGAACATCTGAGGAGTAACACAGCACCACAGCCTCAGGAAGAACATTTTTCAGATGTTATAGGAAATTCCTATATTCTCCACACAGCACAGGCATACATTCTGTTCAGTCAGTTCCCGTAGTTTTGGCCAAACAGAACTGAGTCATTTGAAAGCACAAAAAAAGACACAGTGTAAGTGCAGCTCTTGGAAGGACTAGGATGTACTCCCCCTTTTTCTGCTCCTCATAACTGGGACACATTGGAAATCTTGTGGTAGACTGGAAATATAAGTTTTGGGGACCCTAAAGTTCAGTTAAAATACTAATAAATATAATATTTATAATTATAACAACATTGATAGCAATAACGATAATAATCTCCCTTTCAGATCGTTAAATGGAGAAATCTAACCTCTTCCACACTTCTTCCCGAGGGCACAGATTACTCACTGAAGTGAACGGTATTTCATACACTCACATGGAAAAATAATATTTGAAAGAGGACACAGACGAATCAATTTGACCCAGTGAAAAAAAAATGTGACCCTACTGGACCCCTCAGCTACATTTCTCCCTTAGGCGTGTCCCCTTTTCCTGAATTATTTCCACATCACACAGCAACCTCAGCTTCACCAGGGCACGTTTCACAGGGGATGAGCGATGGGTGCCCGGCACCGCACACAAAGGCAGGTACTTCGGGGACGGACACACTGTGATTACGAGGCGCAAAAGCGAACGGTGTGAACGATGCTGGGAGGGAAAACAAGGCACCTTCCTCGCCCTGGATCGAATCGCGCCAGGGACGTTTCTCACTTTCCCCCAAATAAGATGTAGCTAATCGGTGAGCGCTTGCTCTCCTCTCACAGCGCCGTGCCCGTCTCCTCGCTCAATACAGCCCTGGGGGCGAGGGCCGCTCCCGCCACCTCCCTGCTGCCGGTGGCCCGGCCGGGGGCGTGGAGACGATCCTTCGTCCTCCCCCAGGAAAGCACTTTCAGGACGCGGGAGCCCTTTCCTTCCTTCCCGTTCCCTCCCGCTCGCCCGAGGCGAGGGCAGCGCTCCCTTTGTTCCCCCGCCGAGCGCTCCCCCCGGGCGCGGCCGCCCCTCACCAGCAGGCTCTCCACGTTGACCGGGGAGCGCGGGTCGCGGATCATGGACTCCAGCTTCCTCTGGCGGCCCTCGAGCATCCCCGCCGCCGGCTCCAGCGCCTCGGCCGCCAGGGGAGCCGCCGACATCTTCCCCGCCGGCTGCTGGCTCATCCTCCGGCCCGCCTAGTGCCGGCCCGCGGAGGGCACTGCGCGGGGCCGCCCGGCGGGCCTAGCGCGGCAGCGAGCCCGGGAAGGGCGGGGGCGGCGAGGCGGGAGCGGAGGGCAGCGCCGCCGGTGGCCGCCGCCCGGGCATGAAGGGCGAGGGAAAACGGCCGCTGCTCCGCCCGGGCGCGGGGAGAGGGAGGGGAGATTGCTGGAAGGGAGGGACGGAGCGCTTCCCGCCGTGCCCCCGCCTCTCCCCGCTCAGGGCGTCCCTCAGCGGCCGCCGCCTCACTGCCCGCTCCGCTGGGACATCGCTCCGAGGGCGGGGGGAGGCGGAGAGCGAAGGGGGAGCGGCTGCGGCGGGGTCGGGCTCAGAGTGCGGCTCCTTCTGCAGCGCTCGCCGGCTGCTGGGGCGGGAGCCGCGATCCCCGCCGGCTTGGCTTTCCCTCGCCGCTCTCTCCGCGTTCCGCCCACCCCCGGCCCGGCCCGATCCGGCCTCCCGCTCCCCGGCCCCGCGCAGGCCGCCTCCCCTACCCACAAGGCCCCGCTGCGAGCGGGGCATTGTTCGGCGCTCGCTCAGCGCCCGGCTGCAGCCCTGCGCTCGGCGGGGCCGTGCCGGGCCTGGGCAAGGCAGCCGCTCAGAGATAGGGCTGTGTGCGTTTTGGCACATGAGGCCTCACCCTGCCCCCATGGCGTCAAGCACACAGGAAAAAAAATGAAAAACATTTGAGAAGGTGGGCGAGCAGCGTTTCAGATAGAGCAGCAGTTCTCACGGCATGAATCAGGGATTTATGGAATGGTTGTAGTTCAAAAGGACCTTAAATATCATGTAATTCCAAGCCCCCTGCCATGGGCAGTGACACCTTTCACTCAGCCAAGACTGATCAGAGCTCCATCCAGCCTGGCCGTCCCACGTCGGGGATGGAGCATCCACAATTTCCGTGGGCAATGTGTTCCAGTGCCTCACCACCCCCGTGGTAAAGATTCCCACCCCCACCCCCCTGTATCTAATCTAAACCTACACTCTTTGAATTTGAAACTATTTCCCCTTGTTTTGTCTCTACGTGCTCCTGTCAACAGTCTTACCCTACCTTTTCTATAAATTCTCTTCAGGTATTTAAAGGCCCCACAATAAGGTCACCCCAAAGCCTTCTCCTTTCCAGGCCAAACGATTCAAATTCTCTCATAGGAGAGGTATTCCAACCCTCTCCTGTGTGTATATCCTACATGTATGAGAGGGGGGATGGAGAACTAGGCAGTGAGGAGCTGTACTGGGGAAGGCGCAGGCCAGCCTCATGGCCCCTGAGGAAGGTGAGCTTCCACACTGTGCTGGAGATGGATACAGCCACCTTGCCACACTCGCTGGCCCTTTGAGGAGACAGGATGCTGTTTATCACACCCAGGCAAGAGATGCTACAGCAGGGAGGGTGTCCCTGATGACTGAGCTGTGGCTGCAGGGATGGAGGTGGGGAGCTGGATGGTGGGGATGCCCCATGGAATGGCATGTGAGGTTGTGGCCAAACTATGGTTCCAGCAGACCTGAGATGTGGCTGCTGGGCAGAACAACAGAGACTGTGGAAGTGTCATTTGCTGAGGTGGCGGGACCTCAGGGAGGAAAGGTTAACATTTTACTGTGTTGACTTTCAGCTGATAGCTGGATGGCAGTGAACTGATGTCAGAAAAGTGGCCCAATATTTTAACTTTAAAGGAAGACGAATCAGAGAAGTAAATATGTGAGTCACTTGCATGGCTTTGAACGAGATCACTCTCAGTGACATTCTGAGTCAGGGCCCTGATGCTGAACAACTCCCAACTTGAGGGAAGGTCTGCTCTGAATATCCACCCAAACCCCATAACTGGATTATGCTTTTACAGTCTACTGAGTAAAAATCCTCGAACCTGAGAGAAACACGCACACACATGAATATTTTGAAAAGTCAAATTGGGCGTTATCACTCATGCTTTACAGTGAACCACATTGAGCTTGTGAGTTTCCTGAAGGAATTGGTGAAATCTGTTTGGGAGAGGCACTGATTATTTATATCTTAGGACTACTTCATCTTCAAAATAGATTAGGATCTGCTTAACTGCAGCACCACCATCAAAAAAAAAAAATATCACATCATCTCCTTGAGCAGTTTACTTTGCTAGAAGATAAAAGAAGTAAGTGTGACAATGAGTTTGGTTGCTACTGGGATTATGTGTGGGTACGAGCTGGATCATGAAGTTACAAAGCCTTGCAAAACAACAGTTCAAAACTCTAAATTACCTAAAATAAATATGATTTCTTCATTTATAGATTATTCATTGCCTACTTTTTATAAGTGGCACAACAAAGATGTTTTGGCTTTTTTACGGGATTTAAAATAGGTTTGGACAACAGACCAAACATGAGAAGTGTGTTTCTAGTGATCCATAAGGAGCTTGTGCTAAGTTCTGTTACTGTAAACAGCAATTTTGTAAACAGTGATTTCAATAAGCTCGGAACTGGGCACCAGGTAATGTGATGATCTAAGCTTTTAGTTTCCTCTTGGCTATAGGCAAGGTGCTTCTCTTCAGTTTTTTTAATCTATAAGCTTTATAAAAACTGATCTTTAGCTTATGTGATTTAATGACGTTTAGGGTGGTCTCTAAACAAAGGTAACAAAGAAAATCTTAAATAAGCATAACAGCCCTTTTTACATAGGAAAAAAAGTGTGATTGTGACTTCAAAAGCAAGTGTGTGGAAACAGTGCCTTCTTGAAATTCTTGCCCAATAGATCTAGTCTTCCACCCTTTGGGACATATCTGTTTACTGACTAAACAAGTTTTACTCTATTATAGGGACAAATTGACAATGGTAGTCAGCTGAATTCCTTTGTATGACACCAATCCTCAACAAAATCAGCAGCGTAAGATTTATTGCTGGTTATAAGTGGCTAAGTGACAAAAATAGTACTCAGAAAGTCAGATCCCTATCTCAGTGTTTGCAAAAAAAAATGTTTTAACATGCCCTAGAGGAAAAATAACACCACCTTCTGTGGTCTTTTTACAGTTCTACCTTTTCTGTCTTTAGTGGTGTAAATCTCTCAGGGTGTCACCTATTCCTTCAATGACCATCTAAGGAAGAACTGTTCCTACTCACTCTGTGTATGCTAGTTTTGAAGTCCCATGCAGTGAAATGTCAAATGCTATTTACCATGTTTTGTAAGGCAAAGTCCAAGCCTTCCAGCATACCTGCTGTAGCTTTAAGCCTGAGTCCACAGTTGGATGGTTCATCTGTCTGTCTGCTCCCTAAAATGCTGCTGAACTCTTTAGTTATCGGCAGTCCAAATATGCTTTAGGTGTCCCAAGGCAGTAGGGAACTTGCTGTTGACCATTTTGAGAACTGGCTACATTTATAGGAGCAGATTTGTAAGAAGTTGGTAAATGTGGCCTATTAGTTAAAAGTCATCAGCTTCAGGTTGTTCTGTTAGGATATTCCATAGGGCTTAAGCCTGTTCAGGGAAAAGAGGGATTTAGCTTTGAACCTCTAGCATACTTTCACTACTATTGCAAAAGAAGCAAAAGGAGACAAACTACCCATATGCACATTTGTTTTAGGAGAAGGGGCTGTGCTTTTAGGACTTGCTGCTTGCTAAGTAAGGCTTTTGCAAATCCTCTTTTCAGGCTCCCACTCTGCAAATGTTTGAAGAACGTAAGAGCATTGCTGACAGGGGAGTTGATTCTCCTAATAGCTAGGGTCTCTAAAATTTAGGTTTAGCATCTAGTGGATCTAGTCCATTTTAGTGTTTTGCATATGGGAGAACAGATAGAAGAGCTAAATGAGTTGCCAGTGATACCATGGAGTATCTCTGTCCAGTGACATGAATTGACTCTATCCCAAATAAGAATCAAATTGTGACAACAGAGTAAGAAAGACAAAACACCTGTTAATAGTCCAAGCAAATACAGTCTTTGAAAGCTGCCAAAATTAAACCATGTCAGACTGCTACAGGCAAAGGCGCATAACTATCGTCACTCAGGATGCTGCACTGATGTGGATCAGAGTTGTTGTGATGGAAATAGGACAGAAATAATTTTTTAGATAATGAGGTCTTGAGACTTTGGAGGGCGTAGCTAAAGATCATCATTCTACCTCCAGAAAATAATGTAGATTTTGCCATTGGTACAGGGGTTTTACTTTTAGATTCATAAATACAAAATAGGGGTGAAAAGGAATATAAGTTTATTGTGGGTTTTGTTTGTTTTATTTTCCTTTCTCACATGCTAGTGTTCAATCAGCCTAAGGGTTAATAAATTATTTTTTCTGGATTAAAAATAAACTTCTTCATTTTGGGTAAATGAAGAGACAGAAAGAAACAATACAATTTGTGTGTATAAGAGTTATGTTTTTGAAGGACTTGCAGTCAGCCACAATCTTTATCACTGATATACTGATTCCAGTGTTGTCTTGGGACAAATAGTAGTTATGTAAAGTCCACAAAAAAAACAACCAACCTTGTTTAACATTGTTTCATTTAATTCATCTCTTGCATTGTACCTAGAGGCTTTAAATACAAGCAGCTTTTCAAACACCATGCATTTTCAAACCAGCCTCAGTAAGACTGACACTACCACATCAATTGCTAGCACAGGCCAGCTATAAAATTACAAAACCACTCAGCCATCTGTATAATTAAATGCAAACCAAAGTAATCAAGCAAATGTTAAAGAAAATGTCTTCATCTGGTAAGCTTTGTAGGTAAAGGCCTATATCTACTATTCTGCTTGGGAAGGGATGTACCTTTGTCTCTGAAGGTGTGCCAGGTAGCTGCTTCCCATTTTTTCAAACAGCATATATAGCTGATAAATACAGAACTTTTAGTTGGTACTGTCTGTTGCTGTCTTAAAGTCAGTATCTTAAGCACAAATACCAGAGAACCAAGAAAAGGAGGTGTGAATCAAAAGTGGCTGCATAATGCCTGGGTGTGTCTGATAATGCAGGACTTGGTCTCTGCCTGACTCTTAATTGCTTACATAATTCTCCCCAGCTAAATAACATTGCTTGTG